CGAGGTGTAGGGTGACAGAAGGCTTCCCCAGATAACAGCACCAACACCTCTAAAACACCACAACACCAAGCTACACAAGCTATATGTCACATTCCGGAAGCCTCACATCGCCCCATGTAAAATTTTCTGATACTCAAGTCCAGGAGAAATTTGTCCTCCCGAAGTCCGAAGTACTATCAACTCTACGCGGGAGCAGGTTTAGTTTGCGTTCCTGCCGCAACCACTAGGCCACCCACTTGCACCCAAACGGAAACAGAAAGGTGAATATAATACCCAAAAACCAACTAAAGAAGGTGCAGTAGGCAGATGTTCGAAGGTTCCGAATTCGTTGCTGACTCAGTACACCATTTAATTAAGTTCAAAGTGTGCAGCACTTGTTGGCCGTTTAAGCGCTCCTCTGTATGTCGTCGGGGCGCATAAACTTACTCCAGGATGCTCATCACGTGCATTTCACCGCAAAAAACAAGACCTCTACTCCATACACACCAACAGCTACCCAACCAGTCACCTTTGCACGGAGGGGCATCATATCAGCTACTCATGTCACCGGCTCACTCAGCTTGTTCGGGTCTTTCCAACTATTGTACCACGTCCATACCGGTATGCCAGCCAGCAGCCCCGGAAAGTCGCAGGGAGGGGGCGTCGCGTATCTGATTGCTTTCTTCCAGTCCTGTTGTATCGAGAGAGGCCCCCACGTTGCAGAGGCTTCTATTTTTCAGGCACGTCGGCTCCCCTTCTATCCGCTGGTCCAGAATCACTCACGATGTCATGCTGGGTAGCAAGGTCATCACAAGTTCTTTCCTCATCGCACAGTACATTTGTAGTCCTATCCCAGAGAGGGATATCCACTTTGGCATGTCCCGTTCCTGGGAGGCCGCAAAGGTCACTTCGTTGGCATGTCCCAGTAACGGGAGGCCGTAATGGGCGTTCACCCCAGAAGCGCTCGGAAGATACCATGCCAGATATCCACTTTGGCATGTCCCGTTCTTGGGAGGCCGTAAAGGTCGCTTCGTTGGCATGTCCCAGTAATGGGAGGCCGTAATGGACATTCCCCCCAGATGCGTTCGGAAGGTGCAATTCCAGAATACCGAGGTCGTCACAAGCGCCTAGTAGTAGTAGTAGTAGTAGTAGTAGTAGTAGTAGTCGTCGTCGTAGTAATAGTAGTAGTAGTAGTAGTAGTAGTAGTCATAGTAGTAGTTGCTGTTGGTATTGTTGGTATTGCTGTTGCTGTTGCCGTTGTTCATGAGGTCGTCGTCGTCCTCCTCCTCCTCCTCCTCCTCCTCCTCCTCCTGCTCCTCCTCCTCCTCCTCCGCCTCCTTGGTGTTTGATGTTTGTTGTTGTTATAATCTATTCCTAGTTGCTTGAATTCGCTGGTTGTTGTTGATGACGCAGTTGATGCTGAGCGATGACAATGACGATGATGATGATGGTAATGATTTGTAATCAGTCAGTGATAATGATGCTGCTAGGAGTGTGATGGTGCTGGCTGTGGTGGTAGCTGCGGCGGAGATGTAGTTGGTGTTGTCGTTGTTGTTACTGCCGTCGTCGTCGTTGTTGACACACACCACCCCTCTGTATTAGACATGTTGCAAAAAGCGCTCTCTATCCAAACCTTTCCGCCTATAGAGCCTGCCCCAGACCCCACGATGCCGGAAGACTCTGCGCCTGTGGCGTGGAAGACGGCGTCTTGGCACCAAGATGATGTAAGCTGGTGAGAAGCCACCTGCACGAAGTACAAGCTGCGATTCCGGGGCCCTTTCGGATGCCCAGACCAAGCTGGTGCACCTCACGGTATGTGGATAGGTCTTCCGCCACACGTCTTGGCCCGCCTGACGGTTATCCCAAGCTTCTGCTAAACTCGAGCAGTCGCAAGGTGAAGATGTCAATGTGTGTTCATTGCAGGCTCCCACTTGAAACCCAGGCACAACAAGCATTCACTACCAGCATTGCTGTTGAACATAGCCACCCTCAGCAGCACCGGGCGCACTTGCATCTATTGCCACGAGAATTCGGACTTGAACTGTTCAACCGGGACGCTCAGCGGCTCTTGGCCTTCTGCATGGGGCCCTGCAGAGTGAATGCTAACGAGATATCGGCCACCGTGAGACGTTGGCCTCAGCTCGGGCACTCGCGAGTGCGTGTTATGCGTGTTTTTCTGTCCGCCTGACTGCGGTTTGCACCACAGCGCGCTTGCAAAGCATAAGGGCTTGGGGTCGACAATTGGAAATGCGACTTGCGGACCCCTGTCCAGGCTTGCCGATGATATCACTAAAGGTTTTGGGGGGTGATGTCGACTATCGGGAATGCAACTTACGGACCCCTTGCCAGGCGCTCCCCGTCCCTGTAGCACTCGAAAACGCCAGGTCACATCAAAGCCGTCTCTTTTTGACATGAGAATATCTGGTGGTGCGAGATTCAATGTCGCTTGAATGTGTGAGACAAAAGGGACAGTCGCCGAGTCCCCGCTTAAGCAAGGCATTTGATCGCATGCTGCCCCGGCACGGACATCGGTCAATGTGAACCCAGGTCGGTCATCCCACGTAGGGGGTGGTGTCCCCAAGTTATAACGACACGAACAACATGACAAGATTAAACAATTTGGGAAGTAGGCGGCGAAAAACATGAAAACCAAGAAGACAAACACAAACTAGGTTTTTACTATATATTAAAACTTGCGCAATCAGCTCTTCGTGGTTTGCTTTTACATCCTTTGGAACAAATGTCCCAGGCAAATAACAAAGACGACAACAAATCGGAGCAGTCGATGAAAACTTGACCTTCACCGGATGCACAAACAACTGTGGCCATCCCAACAAAACCATTTCAGTGTTACGGGCTGGTAAAGTTGATTTCACGGGACAAGAGGTTTAACGCCATCTCTTTCGAACAACTTACGTCCATGCTCATGGATCCTGAGGTCACGTGCACATCGGACAGCCTCGGGTTTCAGGCTGAAAGGATCGATCTACGGCAAGTTTGACGGCTTTCGGGCGGAGAGTCGTGACAAAAAGCTCGACACACCAAAAGGCATGATGCTCTTTATCAGTACGAGGTTCGGATTTATCGCTGTCGTCTCGTGTAGCAAGAGCCTGTGTCGTTGCTGGAGCTGTCGGCTTAAGGACACAGCTGCAGACTGTGACCATGCAGAAGAAGTGGGACATCCAAAGGTCACTGCTCCACCTCGCCACACTTGAATCTGCTGTGCTGACAGCATGCATTCGCAAAGCTCGGAAGCACTTCCTGCATGCGCCCTATAATTTACCTCTACGGATGCCCTCCCCGTCAACCTGACTTGTTACCACTTTTTTTCCTACGTTCTTCCATGTCCTCATCTCACTCTATACACTACAAACAGAATCTTAGACAATGACTGAACTCACCTGGATGGCAGACGAAGTCAATGCGAAGAACTCAGTGACCGTCCGCCATGTGTGTACCCATTGAACCTTTTGACGAAGAGGGCATCTGTGAGAATTTGGATAGGGTGTAAGACAGGATCCATTGAGGAGGCCTGCAGCTGGATGACGCGATCACAAGATCTTCTGGCGCGAAGGAAGCTCCCAAGCAGTGCAGGGGCTTTGAACTTGTGTCAAGGAGCTGAAAGAGCCGCCGCATTTGCAAAGCCCTGCTGTGCTTGAAAACCTTTCCAGGAACCTCCGAATGCCTAACAATCACAGTTCCACTGGCTCGCCCTGGCCGTGGTCTTCAACTGAACATGCAGTCAGCTGAGCCAGCTCCTGCAGACGGCGGCCCATCTTCTGGCCAAGTCCGCACACGAAAGTACCCAGCATCACCGGCTCTGTCGTTATATGCTGATGAGCACGAGATCCTTGTCAACTCTGGGTTTTCGATTGCAAATCCTGCCGCTGCATGAAGTCGGCAGAAAATGCTCTCAAGCCTGTGCAAGTGAGATTTGCGCTAATCCCGCTAAGTCATGTCGAAGCCGGTCACTGCTCTGGGATAAAATGCAGCCTGCTATGTGGCCGTGATTTTTTACGGCCCAGGCTTGAATTTGAAGCTGAATGCATGCTTCAAGCTGAAGTGCTTGAGTGGCCTATGGAGGGTCGAAGGCGTTCTGTTTTGGTGTTTATATGCTGCGCGTCGTCGCACTTTAAGTAACCCTGCCTTTCCACAAGCTCCCCCAATCCCAAGTAAGCAACTTGATTGCTCGCTAGCTCCGCCTCGGAATGCGGCTGCCATGTCTGCTGTCTGCTTGTTGAAGTGTACTCGACTTGAAGCCACATTCCCTGAGCTTGCACTGCTGGCTTGAGATGCGCTCGAGCATGCCTTAACGATAGGCTTCCAAGTCTGATCATTGCTCCGGCATAATGGAAGTGAAAGGTCATCAAGATCAAACCCGCTGACTTGGAGGCAGTCTGCAGAGGTTTCCAAATTCTCGGTACCGGAAAGGCGGCGTGCACCTGGCTCGTGTTAGGATGCTCTCTCTCGCGCACTCTCTCTCGCGGACTCACGCCGGCCTATACATTGCTTCGAAAGATTTCTCACGGCCCGAAACTCCCAGTGATTGAACCTACGAGACTGTTGAAATCTCAAGGTCAGTACTCGCAGCTGACCTCCTTGCCGCTGTGAGCCCAGAGCCAGCAGCTTCTTTGCCAGGCATCCAAGGCAAAAATCCTAACCTCAGCTGAACAACTTATCTCGGAAAGTACCAATGTGATGGCACACGTGCGTCCCTCAAATGTGCATTGTTGTGCCACATATAAATAAAAAACACATAATAATAATATATACATATATATAACTGTGGAATGTGAATGCTGCAATATCCTTTGGCTTGTCCGAGTGCATTACGTAGAATGCCTGGGGATACACCCACGACACTTGAAGCCAACGTGATTTCAAAGAGGCTTGCCGCCGCAAACCGTTGAAGAGAAACGTTTCTCCGTCCAAGGTACACAACATGCAGGATGTTTGAATCATTCGTCTGCATTGATGATGATGTTCTTCTTGCTGAGCTTCTCAATGTCCTGATGGCCAGAGCACAACATAAATCCAAGGCAACGGCATCCTTTGTTTGAGACTGGCTTCCGGGAGCTAGCTATCGGTCTCCAGTATGATGTTTCAGATTCAGGGGTGTGTTCGTGCGCAGCCTTGAAATTCAGTTTTCGAACAGGTTCTATCAAGAAAGACAGCTTTCGACCTGGATTTTCCCGATTGAGCCTCTAACTCCTTTGCTCAAACGGTCGACGACTTGCCGGCACAAGCGTTTCTCCAAGAACCCTGACGACCTACGAGTGCAGTGCTCGGGCCAGCTGCCTCAAGTTCTGTCAAGTTCTGATGAAGGACGGGCCTTCTCAATCTGTGAAAGCTCGGCCTCATGCCGCTCCTCGCAGGACATGCAGGACGGATCGCTGAGGGCTGGGATTAGACAGCTCAGGGCTCCCACGTCGGCAGTGCCTACGACAATCACAAGGGACGGGACGGAACTGATGCTGTCCTTCCGCTTCATCTTGCCCATGGTATCGAGCTTCGTGATGTGAGTTCCGCCCTGCACGTATGTCAGACTGCCCTCGATTACAGCTTCTCGCCGATGCATGTCTAGTCTAGGATGAATGGTGCAAATAAGGACCCTCCCCGTCTCGTGTCATTCCCACCCCCTGCATCTTTAATTTCCGGCTTCCCGGCAAGGTTTGGCCTGGTAGGCAGTGTTGACCTCGATTTTGCTCCGGCTGTTGCGGCTTGGGAATCCTAGCTTACTTCGCAAGGCTTTGCACTGACAGGTTGGCGGCTTTACGAGATTGAGATGGAGGCTTACGAACCGAAGTCTTCTCCCGCGTCAGTTTCGGCCGAGAGGCAGATTCCCATTTCGTCTTCAAACCTTCGATCAAGTGATGGCGTTCGTCTTCCAAGAGCGGCCTGGCAGCTTTGATGGTGCACTCAAGGAGGCAGGACGTCTCGGATGCCCTGGCATGGCAATGTTTGCGCAAATATATATATATATATATGTATATATGTGTGTGTGTTTATTTATAATACACATACATACAGAAAGAGAGCGCGATAGATATCTGCGCGCTTGTGAGTGTGCGTGTTGATGTAAGTACGTATATATACATAGACTTTTTCGAGGCTAAACACGGCGATTGTTTACCGTGGCCTGCAAGCCGCAAGCCGACTAGACTGGATGGCTGCCTGAAAGACAATAACTGAAACTTCCTTCATACGCATTTGGATATGTCTGGTCCACTTAGCGCAGCTTCTTCACGAACAAGACAAGAGAAACGAAGGAGCGTGAGGTCCTCTCTATCTCCGAAGTGTGCATGCGCGTGAAACAACTGCGCGTGAAACAACTTAAAAAGGTGGCCTCATCCTGTCAGCTTCTTCCTGCTCGCGCAGCTGCTGCAACCTCAGGCTTCTCATCTCCATAGGTATCCAATAAGCACTAGAACAAGGCAAACTGCAAGCGGGCAGTTCGATCTCGTATATGGACACACGATACATGCTGAGTTGTAAGCTGACGGATATATTCATACTCCGCGTCGATGTCCTGACACATGTGACAGAGTTTCAACAGGTGCTACTACAGCTGCCGGGGCAGAGGCAAAACAGTTCACCTCGTCATCTGAGCGCAACGACATTTTACAAATTGCTCTGATGTCGTTGTCCTTCTTGATGTGTGAGAGGTACTTGGGGATCTTGCCATAGTCCTGCTTGAATCAAGCAGGACGGGCACCTCTACCGTCATCTCCCCACTTGCTGTCGCACTTGCCAAGGTTCGCTTCCGACTCAGGGGATGACATGTTCTGTGGAAATACGACATGTGCAGCTGCTATGCGGTGTCTTGTGCAGACTCCAGGCCTAGGCCTGCCCAATTTTCCTTCCATGGCAAAGCGCCAGCTGTCGTATGAGATGCAATGACACGTCAGCAAAATGGTCTCCGGTGAGACTGCTCAGATCAGGCTGCAGGAGACTTACTTGAAGCCGAAGATGTATATCGGCCTGAGACGGCACGGGCCATCCCAAGGTCAGAGTGAGAGGCATTCTGGCTTCCAGGCATCTGTGCATAACGCTGCAGGCCCTGCTCGGCACGATGCCTTCTTCAATAGATTAGAGCCAGAGAAAGAGAAAGGGCACACACTGCATTGTCTATCTACATACAGTTCTGAAGTCCAAGTTCGGATCACACTGTGTCCAAACACGAAACTCATCAGAAGGCCAGGGCACTGGAGAGGCTTTCAGCGCCCTAAAGGCTCGGCAGCTGAGCCTGGATGTCGGCATAAAGTCACTTTAGGGTTTGCAGGGTTTAAGGGGTTTTGGCTTTCGGCTTGCACAACTGGCAAGACTGGGGTTGGACTTCGCCAAGTCCGGCAGGATGCGCGGCGAAGGTCCGGCATCCGGGCTTTCAGACACATTGGCAGACGGCAGATTTACTAGACTCTTGGGGGCGTAATGGCTGGCGGCCACAATCCGGATAGAAGAGACAGAGAAATCTTTATCTGATTTGTTTGTGTGTATGTCTGAAACCCGGTCTCTCTATGTCGGCATGCGAGCTGCTATCAGTGTGGTCTAGTGCACCGCATGAACCAAACTCCCACATTCAATGGGAGCTAGCTCCCTGCAAGGCTCTGCGTAGGACAGGCTCAAACTATGCCACGTCTCGGAAGGCAGACGTTGAGTTAAGTCACCCACAGACGCAACCCCAAAGCACCAAACAGACTCTCGACAAACAAAAAAAGCTTGAGAGATCCTTCTGATTCTTACGTGCCTTGTGGTTCACTTCGGAGTGCTTGTGAGGGAAGCTGAATTTTTCCAGCTTCAAGTCCTGTACTTCTTGGGCTCTGGAAATGACTGCAGTCTACAACTATGGCATCAAGGTTAAGGCGAGACATGCAATCGAAGAACAGCACGCGAAGCCTAGGAGCTTTTACACAATTCCTCACGACTATCATGCCGATCGCCTGCTAAATCCTCGCTATCAGGCATACCAGGCATGCCTGAGCGGATTGGAACCTGCGACCCTGAATCGACTTTGGCGAGGCAAGTTCCTAATCAACTGAGGTTACACTGTGTGAGGACAATCTACCATCGGCTGGAGCGAACCCTAGCCGGCGCTCCTTCCACATGCCTCTGCCACATTGCTGCTGGTAGGTTTCCTTGCCTGCCATTTCCAGCTCCTGCACAGGTGTTGGGTTTGGGATTGGGGGATTGCCAATTTACAAGCACGCGCTTTCTGCAGTACACGTCAAGCGGCCAAGCTTCCATGATTCTCAAGCCTTCCCTGGGCCAACAAGCTGTTGGTGGCCCATGGCCAGGCTTACTGGTGCACTCTTGCAAAGAAGAACAGCGACATTCGGGTGCCATTGCTTTCATGGCTTCTTCGAGGCATGTGTGTGTGTGTGTGTGTGTGGGGGACGTGGGCTGGAAGGTTGACCACACGCGTCTCCGCCTTCCGATGCCAGGGGAAGCCTCAAACACCTGAGGCCTGAGCTTCAATATTCAACGTACCACCAGGCCTAACTCCCTGAACACCAGCTCCTCTGTCGGATCACACTGGAGAGCATATGCAGCATTCGCATTCTCGTGAATCTCTTGGATGCTGCCCTCATGGACAATCTGCATGTCGGTCTGCATGTCCCATCAAAGGGTGCGAAAGAAGAGGTTGATGGGGCTTAGACTTAGAATCTCCATGCAAATGAACCACGTATCGAAGATGATGCTTGCCGTTCAGACATGCTGTTGGTCTTGGCCTGTACGATAGAAGTAAACCGCTTCGATTCCGCTTCAATTGGCTTAAAGCAGTCAAGGCGCGGCCATGAAATCGTAGAATTCCTGCCGGCCGGATATATCTGCTTGCACGCATGGTCTCCTTTCCTTGTGGGTTGCTATGGAGGCACTCAACTACCAAGGCATGCGTCCATCGTCAAGCTAGGCAGGTCGGTTCGTCACCCTCTCCAATGACTAATCACTAATCCGCCAAAAGGGGTTGGGGTGGCCTTGTTGAAGGAGTGCAGGCGGCGGAAGGCGATGACCATCTCGTTGTACTGCTCCTTACCACGTTAGCATTTCACGCAGTGGTGGCTGCATTGCTCTACGTCAACATGTATGTGCCTACTAGGTTCCTGTGCTTTGCTATTTAGAATCAGAAGACGACAGCAGAGCGCTGTGGCTTCCGACCTATCGACCTGTCTTGCTGAAAACGTGTGCTTAGAGATAAAGACATCGAGGAATTTATCATGCTGACATGGGTCAACCACATCAGACCGAGGATGCCTATAGGGCTGTGAGAGTGCTTCGACATGATTCATGGCTAGAGTCGTTCATAAAATGCTTGCTTATTTGCTTCTATCAGTGTCGTAGTTTATGCAGCTCGTCGTTCTAGTGAAGTAAGCTCAAGATCACAGTCATTATTTGAAGGACCATGTAGGCCTTCTTCAAAAACACGAATACTACTCAGACCTGAGCAGCTTTATCAAAGTAAGTCTCAGGCATAACCGCCCTTATCAAGTTTGCGCATATATGCGTGAACCAGTAGTAGAAACAAAGATAGTTACCTGCATGCTTTAGTCAGTAAAGCTGTGTACATTCGGCTGTTGGATGGACGTTAAGTTCGGTATTTCGGTTCTGGATTGAGGGAACGGCTATGCATGATTTGGCGTTCTAGGAGACACTGGAGACTTGAGGTCGGCTCTCAATTTCAGACCCTTGGAAATGCCACATAAGCTCATGGCGCAGAAACTTTTCGAATCCAAGCACATGCGACAGCATTCCCAGCTCTTGAACAGTGTCGCCAGGCGAAACATGCTCTTTAATCTCATCTATCTGCTTTTCATGACCTGTCCAACTGTGCAAACGAAATACCTGGGGGCTGCAGAAGCGACCATGTCACAAATGTCAGCGAACACTTGAGAATGTAGGTTCTTGGATGCATGAACTACAGCGGATATTAACCATGCAAAGTGTGGCAATTGAAGAATTGAGACACCTGGAGCTTCTCAGTTCTTGCATGATATTTTGTCATACGCATATCAAGAACAAACGAAATCATTCATGTTCACATCTGCGATACGTGTGCGCTGAAGGCGGCGGTAACAACAATTGATGCTGGTTAGCTATGGGATACGCAGAACATGTAAACCAGGACACCAAAGCAAACAAATCACTGAACTCTTTTGGAAGAACTAGTTGATCAGTCCATGGAAACTGAAGTGAATCAACTTGACTGCTCGTTTGCATGCTTACACCCTCTGATTACCTGAGCACTTGACAAGATCAAGACTACGCAAACTTATCACTGATCCCACTAGCTACGGCCATACATATGCCGGCTTGATGGCATATTCCACAGAATTGGAAGGCATACACAGAGTCAAACACGCGCACACACACGCAAAATAAAAAAACAAAATTCTAGAACCAAGATGATGCGATCCTAATGGATAGGGGATCCTAGGGATTCATTTATTCACTGAGTTTATCAAGAAAACTTCAATTCTCTGCACAAGCTTTACTCAGGTTCCACTTCCATAGACCCTCACGAGCCACAGCAAAAGGACCTAGACCGGAAAACTGTACTCAACAGACAAAACAACTGAAACTTGCGGGATATTCAGGGAAAGCCAGACAGTAACCTTGGACTTGGGTGCGTGCACGACAGAAACCTGTGTACGTATGCTCATATAATATATATATATATATGCTAGCCCCCCCCCCCCCAATTGACCAACTCTGAATACCAATACTTTCACTGACTCACGAATGTGAATGCTCACAATAGTACTACCAGTAAAGCTACTATTGGTATTAATATTAGTAACATGTTCATGCTAATACTAGCATTAATAGCAAAACTAATTCTGGTGTGAATACGAATGACCCTACGGCTACTTACAATCGTATTAATATTAGCAATATTAATATCCATAAACAATATGCATACTAATGCCTGTACCAATGCGGGTACATATAAAACTGCATGTATTACTCCTGCGAGTAAAGATAGTCTTACTCTTATTATGCATAATATTCATACATTAAAACTTCGTACTCGTATTACTGTTAGTATGCATATTAATGTTAGCATTAGTTCTTACTAACATTTATTACTCCTACGAACAAACATTTTCGTAACCATATCAATATTAATCTTAATGCTAATGTTACGAATAAAATCACTAATACTTACACGAATACTGGATTTAATGAATACTGATACTCTCACGATTACTTATACTCATATGGATGTTAAAAGTTAATACTACAAATGTTTGTGTTCCTACAAATACTAGTAATCATATTCATATTACCAGGAATATGAATACCAATATACATACTGATG